GTATAACTAATTTTTGAAATTTTTATACCGCGATGTTGAAAAACAGTTTTAAGAAAAAATTTCGATAAGTTATCTCGAACGCATTAGAATTACGCGTTCTGCGCTCTTTAAACCTACATCCTTTCTTAATTTGTCAAAGTTCATGAAAAATCTTTCACATCTTATTTCACACACTTACAACTATCAATTTATAGAAAAGGAATTTCTAATTTTTTGACCTCAGATAAAAGATCTTTTCCCTTATGTTTGAGTAGGTTATGTATTGTGCGCTTTCACAAATTATTTACAATTAGAAATATCGATGAAGGTATGGTATACCAAAATGCTATTATGCACCCTTGTAAACCTAAATCATGGATAATTCGCAAATCAACATCGATAATGACAACAAGTATATTTGTAAACGGAAGATATCCCAGTTTTATTTTACCATTTGTAAACGAAAGCATATATAGAATTGTAGGTTTGCATACATTAACTCTTTGAATGCTTCATATTTTTATGTACATGAAAATAAAACCTTAATTTTATGCGCATAATAAGTTTATTGACACACAGAAGGTATCGATACTCTTTGACATAAAATATTCTGTTTAAATTGAACGATTAGTTTTATCAAAAGATAGCGCTATGATGAAGCTATGCATTCACGAACATATACATACTTTGACATGAACGAATTTGTGCATATTTACACAAGTGTCACTACTGTGTACACAAGCCTTCTATCAGCCGACTGTGTTCCCAGTACCGTAACTAGATTTTAACGATATCAAAATTTTTACGAATTTCTTCTAAATACACGTAATTTTCTCCAATAAATATACATGTTTTAAATGTTAAGTTAAAATAATTTTTGGTGTAAATAATTAGAGTGTATTGATACGAGTATGTTGACCCAATTTACGCATGCGCAGTGGGTTCCAATAATCGCAGAGAATCCTTTATTAGAGAGGCTTTCGTTGGGAATGATATCAGTGTTATATCTAACAACAGCATTGCGCAGAATACAGTAATTGCTGCGAAAGGAAAGTTTCTATATTAGCGTAGTATTTAATAGAACATTTAATTCCGAAGAAGATTGAAAAGTTCTTCGAAGATGTTCCGCACCGTCCTATGCCTATGCACCCTGTTGGCGCTAACCAACGCCAATCTACACAGGTAAATATAACTGTAATTTGAAGAAAGAATACAATAAGTAACTTTCCTACAATGGGCCAATTATTAATGTTTTGGACTATGTTCCTTGATAAAAAAAACTGTAAATTACATATATGGTTGTTGCTAATAAAATTTAGCTAAGTATCTACACCAATTGTAAATACAATTTTATTCCAAGGATTCCGCTGTATAAGATGGACACTGTTAGACAACAAATGAAAGAATACAACACAGAATTGAGTCAAGTGCGATTGGTACAAGGAGATCTGCCTCAACCAGAACCTCTTTCCAACTACTTGGATGCCCAGTACTATGGAGTTATGAGCATTGGAACTCCCCCACAGGACTTCAAAGTGATCTTTGACACTGGCTCCTCCAATTTATGGGTTCCCTCCAAGAAGTGCCATTTCACAAACATCGCATGCAGTGAGTAAATTTATTCTATAAGTTTCATTATCTAGATACTTTGTTATCTATGACCATTATATTAATTATTTATCTTCAAGAATTCAATTACCTCTGCTATATGATAAGTTGTTAATCTAAGATGCAATTTTTATCCTTTGAAATGATAGTAAAGTAAAATATAAACAAATAACATCTTTAACAAGTTGTTCTGTTAATAGCATAGAATTTTTTTCAAGCACTCTTATTATTTCAAGTGAAGATTCAGGCTGTTCTAAAAACAGTAGATATGATTATATTGTAATGTAAGTTTATCAACACTTGAATTGCACTCCACATTTTTTGCAAATGATCATAATGTTATGATTTGAGTGTTAATTTATTAATCGAGAAATGTTTAGATTCTCAATTAATTATTGTATGTAATTTTTATAGAAGTGCATCATAAATATGATAGCACTAAGTCATCCTCGTACAAGCCGAATGGTACCGAATTTTCAATCCGTTACGGCTCTGGAAGTCTCTCCGGTTATCTGTCTACCGATACCGTAAACGTAAGTACTTGCGCACGTATTTTTTTTCGTGTAGATTTCCCGTGCTCAGTGTTCACTATAAATAACGATACGAGCTATATCGTAATTTAACTTCCCTCTCTCGTTTTATGCATTGACCTTTTGTTTCCAAATATTTCTACATTAATATCACGGTCGTTCATGCATTTTTGCCACTTTTTATTTTATATACAGCTATACTAACCATGTAGAAAATTACTATGTTAAATGAATATATTACAGCTTGCTGGACTGGAAATTGCTGACCAAACTTTTGCTGAAGCCTTAAGTGAACCTGGATTGGCATTTGTTGCTGCTAAGTTCGATGGTATTATGGGAATGGCTTACTCTAGAATTGCTGTTGATGGTGTAACACCTGTCTTCTACAACATGGTCAAACAAGGAGTAGTACCCCTGCCTGTTTTCAGTTTTTATTTAAACAGGTGCTCGTCTGTGAATAATCAACATATCACGTACAAAAAAAAGAAATTATTTAAAATTATATTAATTCATAAATTGATAGAGACCCTAGTGCTAAGTTTGGTGGAGAGATGATCTTGGGTGGTTCGGATCCAAATCACTATGAGGGTGAATTCACCTATGTTCCAGTAGACAAGAAAGGATACTGGCAATTCAAGATGGACAGGTACTTATTACATTTATGAGAGTAGTCTTACTAATAATCTGATTTCTAATTGAACGTAAATTTTTTAGAATTGAAATTGGCTCAGACACGAAGGTCTGCAATCATGGATGTGAAGCTATTGCTGATACTGGTACCTCCCTCATTGCTGGTCCAGTTGAGGAAGTCAGGGCTATCAATGAAAAGATTGGAGCTACCTCCATCATAGCTGGAGAGGCAGTGGTACTTCTTTTTTTTTTTAACGAAATTGTTGCTATGTGAACGTTTATGAAATTACATGATTATTATTTTATGTTCAAAGGTGGATTGTCAGTCTATTCCTACTTTGCCTACAATCAACTTGGTTGTGGGTGGCAAGACTTTCGCACTGAGAGGAGAGGACTACGTATTGAAGGTAAGATAAAAAAATATCTTAATTGTATGTCTGGAGTGTTTAGGATAAAAAAAAGTATCCATCTCTCAAAGTCGGTAAGATGAAACAATTCTATGCTCCTTTATTAAAGGTCAGTCAGTTTGGAAAGACCATGTGCTTGAGCGGTTTCATGGGAATGGATATTAAACCACCAAATGGTCCTTTATGGATTCTGGGAGACGTATTCATTGGCCGTTACTACACTGAATTCGACATGGGCAATAACCGTGTTGGCTTTGCTAAAGCTAAGTAGATACATTGAGCGAGACGTATCAATTAAGCTCCCTCAATGCAATATACTCTTTCCTTGTTTAATATAATATTATGTTTGTATGTCTTCTGTAATTTATCGAATAGTACTTTTGTGATTTTACTATGTACCATATATAATAATTTTACGAAGAAAACTATGTATTATGTAATGTAGTATCTTATAATGAAATTTATGATACATTTGGAAGATGAACGCAATAAATTTTCTTCACGTTATATACTATTTGTGTTTTTTAAATCGATTTTATTCCTTTACACCTCTCTTTGTTTACCTTTCCTCGTACTGAGTTGTAAATATCGTAAATTATAGTGGTGTACTATATCACAAGCTTTGTACAATGTTACAAAATGAATTGATCTGCGAAACGTGACTATATTACTGTTTTTTCTTTTTCACTGCATGAACTGCATAATTTATCGCCGTTGATGTCATCCAAAACCATTCGTTTTTCAAAAGGTTATAAAACATTCCATGAATTAATTTCGTTTTACAACCACCTGTAAAACCATTTTACCTTTGATGAGTATTGTATATACAGGATGTATCATAACATGTGGGACCTACTTCAGGAGTGGAAAGAAGAAATGGCTATAACTTTGAAACAAGGTCAAATAGGACACGTGTTTACATGAACTTTTTTCATTGCTTTTGTGTCTCCTTTCCACTCCTGAAGTAGGTCCCACATGTTATGATACATCCTGTATAATATCGCTGTTAACAAAAAATACTTTACATGATTCTAGCAGATACTGAATTTCAGGTGGAGTAATAAATTTATTCCAATCATGAGTGCCTTTTGGTACTAATTTCAAAACATGTTCAGCTGCAATGATACCTCCAAGCCAAGAAGGCAAAGTTTTGTTCAATGTTGTTAGAAATATTGAACCACCAGGCTTTAATGTGTTTATACAACACTATAAAAGGCAAATATATTATTACATGACTTTTTTCATACTAAATTGATTTAATAGTATCGTACTTTTAAAAACAAGTCTTTGTTATTCACATGCTCTATAACTTCCGAGGCTACCACAGCATTATATGTTTCTTTATTATTTGGAGCAAAATCTTCAATAACTGTTTGAATATAATTTAACTTTCCATCTAAATTGGGATCCAAAATAGCATGTTCTTGTGCTGTTGTTATTAAATCTGAAGAAGCATCAATTCCAGTTACTTTCGCTCCTATTCTAGCCAATGGTTCTGATAGTAATCCTCCACCACAACCAACATCCAAGACTTTGATCCCTTTTAATGGTAAATAAGGACATTCTGCTCTGACACCTGTATTTGCTAAACCATCTCGTACAAATTGTACTCTAAGAGGATTCAACGCGTGCAACGCACGCATTTCACCGTTTACATCCCACCATTTGTTATTTAATCTAGAATGAAGATCCACCGATGTGAGATCAACAGTGGATTTTTTAACTGGAGTAGATTTTACCAATTGTTCGGTTTGTTCGGTTAATCTAAAATCATGATTCACAATTAAAACACCAATTTCTTTCTGCATAATCACACGAACATTTTATAACAAGCTTGAACGTATTAAGCGTTTAGGTTAAGTACCGGTTTTTGAAACTGATCCCTGTACATATTGAACGGAAGTGTAAAATTTTGATAATTCCCATTATTTTCTTTTATAAGGAGATTAAATATAGATTAAAATTTATAAATATGTAATATTCTCAAAAATATCAAAAACAAATAATTTATAGCATACGTAAGTATGATTTCGATCACACATTGACACTTCGTTGCAAATAGTCAACTTTCTACGTAAATAAAATTAGTAGAATGTCATTTTATTTTGAATTATTTATGAAGAATTATATACAGCAATATTATAAAAGAAAATACATCTGTATTAACTAAGTAATGTTTTATTAATTCGAATTGATATGCATAATTCGTACGTCTTATCATTGTACGTAATATGACAATATCAATATTTATAATCAAAATATAGGTAGATATAATCAATATACATTTCATTATGTCAAATAATTTGCATAAAGGTCAGTAATCCTTGTGCATGATTATTTTTAACATAAAAATATTTATTCTTTCGTAAATTGCAAACATACTCTTCATGCTTACCATTGTACATTTTTAATATAGAAAAATTAAAAAAGTTGTAAAATATTACTATAACAAAGACTCAATCTTTTCCCAAGAGAAATCACAATTATCGTTCAAATTTAATATATTTTTATCTTCAATTAGATTAAATAACTTCTTAAATGCGGAGTACTGCGATAAGGTATTTTTATCCGCAACAACAATTAATTTATGTTTTGCTCTCGTTACCGCTACGGTTAATCTCCTATGATCTCCTAATATTTCAAGATCCTGCACTTAAAGAATATAAATCAGTTTTCTAGTTTCAATTTCTCCAATTTAAAAATTTAAACGATGTACCTCTTTTATGTCGTTACTATTAATTAGACTTTTCGCGCATGAATAAATTATAACTTCTTTATCGCGTCCTTGATACTGGTCGACAGTATTTATCTCGATATCGTTTTGAACTATTTTTCTCAATAAATTTACATGTGCCCTGTATGGCGCAATAATTCCAATATTTTGGGGCTTCGAGTCCATCTGTACATTTAAATACGACGACGTTTTCTAATATTTTGATATGGAAATTGTAATGGGTTAAACACTGATAAATATCACCTTCAAAAGAATTTGTATTAATTTCGATACTATAACACCTTCCCAAATATTTGAATTCGCTTGATGACTTTCCAGATATTTAGCTTTAACATTGCAGCTTACTTTTAAGCTACTTGTGCATCCTGTGTTTAGTATAATTACAGAGTCATTTATTTGCGGTGACAATGCTTTCTGCACCCATTTTTCTTCCTTTCTTAAAATCTGAAATATAATTACATCTCACAGATAAAGTATTACATAATTATTTCAATTATTAAACTTACTTCAATGTATGGAGTAACAAAGTTGGCATTTTCTATCAATGTATTCCCTGATTTCAGTGTATCATTATATGTCAACTTATTTGCTATATACATTATTTTTTTATTCATTCTGTACTGCTTGGTCAAGCAAACTGTATTATTTTTACTGTCCAGACGAGCAAACAAAGATTCATCTGCGCCTAATTTTCTATATAACCAATATAATGAATGTTGTTTTTTATAAACTCAATATAATATGTGGAAAAAAAATCCTTGTGCATACCTAGCTAATTCACTTTTGATAATTGGCGGTAACTGGTCAGGATCTCCCACAAGAACAAATTTACGTGCACTATATAGTGGACGTAATACAGATGGTTGTAACGCTTGAGTACTTTCGTCTACCAGACATACGTCAAACGTACGTCTTCTAAGAAGTGCATGATGAGCACCATAACAAGTCACTCCAATGATATTCTAAAATAATTAAACTTACTTATTTTCAACTATGTATAAATATTATATAAATTCGTGTTTGGAAACATTGTTGTTTCATACTTTGCTGGAGTATACTGCATCTAAACTATCAGGTGAATTACAACTTGCAGTTGCGTATCCTTCTCTTTTATGAGTCAAAGATTTATGAGCAGATGAACCTAATCGTAAGAAATCAATATTTTTGCTTAACAGCTTTAACAAAATATTATCTACCGCACTGTTAGTATGCGCAGTGATTAAAACAGAGTGTCCCGTCTCGTGTAACAATTCTATAAGAGCCACCAATGTCTGCGTTTCGTTCAAGTCTTGCAATATTTTAGCACTTTTGTGCACAATAGATTGTGGCAGACCTTTTTCGAATGTTGCCGGCTTCCTAATACAGAGAAAAAATTAATACAAAAAAATGCGAAGAGTTATAAAAATATGTCTAACGAATTTTACAAACCTGTCTATCACAATTTCTCGTAACTTCTCGCAAATTTCATCGTCACCCATTAGACCACCCACATTTGCAAGAGTAAAGGAGAACAAGCTAGAAGACGAATACTTGTCTATGTGAAAGAATTTATCGATACTGTACCGGGTGATGTTTCTAAAATTAAGTAAACAATTATAACGTATATTAATCAAAAATTTAATTTTCTAATTTTTATATACCTATCCAACAAGACAGTGATGGAATCTTCTTTTATATTCACTATGAATCCTGCAGATATATTTATACGTGTGTCTGTACTGACCAACACATATTCATTTTCTGAGAATTCCATATATGGAAGTTCGGTATTTGTGATTTGTATTTTTGAGTTTACACGAACAAATGTGTGTCTGTATTTAGAATTGTGCTCTGTGACTTTTCCTATCACTTTCAAATAACAGATACAAGTTTTCTTCACTTCTCTGAGAAAAGCAGACAACCAATTTAATTGAAGTAAATTTATAAAAATAGTTATCAGAATTTACCTCTTCTCTGGTCTCAAAGTCCACAGATATCTCATAATATTATCACTGAATTGAGCACTCTCTTCTAATTGTAATAACGAAATCCATTGTAAGATGTAATCAATGTGTGTAGACTTGAACCTGCCTAAAATCTGTTTACTGAGTTTCATTAATGGATGCGACTCTGAAAATTGTAATTTAGTCTCTTTGCTCAAATAAATACAACATAAAGCATTGTAAGGACACTTGGAACAAGCACTATGGTGATTGATTGGTTCTGGTAACTCCATTGTTTGCAAGTCTGATTTAGAAGTTATGTTCATTGATTTCTCATTTGACTTAAAAGCAAAATAACTGGCTAAAATGTTCCTCAATAATATTAAGTCTCTTCTTTCAGAATGTCCACTGTTAATTGATTGCATAGTATTATCTCTGCAATACATAATATCAGTACAATACATTACTTCATAAAGTTTCAGAATATTTTGATAAATTACCTGAGATATAATAATAAACCTGTATCTGTATCTTGACCTGTAAGAGACATCATCATGATGTACAAAATAATTTGGCCTTTATGTTCCAAGGAGAATGAAGGCTTGCCTGTTTTTACTTCAAGAGGCATAATTATCCTATTTGAATTTATTTTGACCTCCACAGTAATATCCACTTTACCCTTTATACCTAACTTAGGATCCCAGATATTCTCTTCTATGTCATGCACATGAGTAATTCTTCCCTTAAAATTGTCCCTTATACAGTTTATTTTTTGCTGTTCCTTATCTGGAAATATTTTTGCCATATTAAAAAGAACATAGGTCAAAGAGCTCATAAATTTATATACCTTTCAAGTAATGCTGAATGAATTCGAATATTCTTGGTACAAATGTGAGCATCTGTTCTCTACATTTATCAAATGGAATTTCTGATGCATAAAGTACACTAGCTGTCTCTCTGGATTGTAATATTGTATCCATTAACTTTGTAACATCCGAAGATTCATGGATATTATTAAGTATTGCCTAAAATATTGGTAAAAAGCATTAAAATTATGAAACGCAAAAGTAGAATAAGCATTTACCTTTTGTAACAACTGATGAGTTAAACTTCCAATGACCATTGCTGTTTGGTCTCTTGCATAACAAGGGAGACCCTCTATTTTCTTGAATTTTTCAGCTAAAACTGCCTTCCTACTGCAAAATAGGCCACCAGCAACTGTTGTTCCAGATATTAGCACATCTGGATGTACAACAAGAAAACCACTACTATTATCTACAGTCCAACATTCATTTTCTTTCTTTGCCTGTATTGCAACAGTATCATCCTTCTCCACCTTTGCATCTTTCCTAAATTTTAATTTCAAATATTGTATTTAATATTGTATAATAATTATACCATTGTATGCTCCTTACCAAAAACCAGAACATCTAACAGTTGTGATATGTGTTCCATGGTCTTCTTGTTTTACAGTTAACAGTATACTGTTGTATTCTCTTGTTACATCAACAATCTTGCACCTCTGCAATGAGTTAAAGTTTATTTCATTACCTATAGACCACTCTTCTTCAAAGCAATCGTTAAAATCATCTATAGTACATGTCCCTAATTCAAAATCTGATGTGTAAATTTCATCACACTTTTTCACATTATTATTCTCAGATTCCTCCAAAAAATCTGCTTTATACTCTTTTACAAGAGAACATTTATTGAGATTACATTTCATTGTCCTTTTATCATTTAAACAATACATTGTATTTTTACATTTGTCAATGTCCATATTTTCTTCACAATCATGTTCTATTTTAGTTGTATTTTTCTTAAGAGATATAGCCACATCTTCATATTTATTATTGCTTATATTATTGTCACTAAACACATTGGACTGATTGTGTTTCTTTTTTTGTATAGTTTGTGCATTATGTACATCAGAAATATCATAAAACTTTACAATTTTACACAGGGATGAATCTACTTGCTCTGACAGCTTTCGTTTTTTATCAACATAATCATTTGTAATAAAGTCTTCAACAATACTATTTACATTATCATTATTTTTATTTTTGGACACCTCATTATTAGAATTTTTTGTAAAATATGATGATATCTTTTTCTGAGATAGTTTCTCATCGCGAATTGAACCATTCTAGAACAAAAGAAATTATAAATGACAAAACGTAACATAAATA